TGCTTAGTCTTTCTTATTATGCTTATGTCTTCTCTTCAACAAAATTAGAGATAAGGGCAGAACAGGTTCTGCTGGAGAGAGGGGGAAGAGGGCGAGAGTGGAGGGCAGGGGGGAGAGATGACCCAAACAATGTATGCACATGTGAATAAATGAATTTAAAAAAAGAAAGAAAGTAGATGGACAGTCCAAAAGAAAAACAAAAGTCAACTCAAGGGCATCACCATCTTTTAGAAAGTAAAAATCAAGGTGAAAGAAACCTACCAACAAAAGTAATCATTTATAACCATTCACACTGGGTATTCTTGGTTTGAATGATTATTTAAAGATATCTAAAGATACTGATTTACAAGGGGATTGGGGAAGAGCAGTGGAGGGGGAGAATTCAAGTATGATATATTTGAAGCATTTTAAGAATTTTGTAAATGCTACAATGTACCCACACCCAGCACAACAATAAAAAAAGTAAAATTAAAAAATCTAAAAAAAAAAAACTCAACAATTAAAAAAAACTAATTGAAAATATGATACAAAAGTCTTAACAGATAACAGATATTTCATCAAAGAAGATATTACATGGCAAATAAGTTCATGTAAAGATGCTTAACATAATATACTACTAAGGGATTGTGAAAAAAAAAGAAATACCATTATTCATCTTAGAATAACCAAATCCAAAACACTGAAAAAATGGCAGTTTCTTTAAAAACTTACAGCCACACAAATATCTGCATGTGAATGTTTATAGTAGCATAACCATAAAAAGCTGAATGAATCATAATGTCCAGTAGTATATTTTAAAACTGTGATACATCATACAATGGAATATTAATCATTAATAAAATGAAATTAATCAAGTCATGAAAAAACATGGAGGAAAGTGAAATGCACATTGCTAAGTAATATGACAAAATGAAAGCCCAAGTGAAAAGGCTACCTACTATATATTTCCAATTATATGACTTTCTAGAAAAGGTAGATCTATGGAGACAGTAAAAATATCAGTGGTTGCCAAGGGTTAGGAAGGAGAGAGAGATAAATATGCAAAGCATAGAGGATTTTCAGGGCAGTGAAGATATCCTATATGATACTACAATGGTAGATATGTGGTTATACATTTGTCAAAACCCACAGAATGTACACCAACCACCAAGAGTGAACTCTGATGCAAACTATGGACTGTTGATGATAATGATATTATCTAAATGTCAATGAAGGTTCACCAATTTAAAGAGATGTGCTGGAGAAGGATGTGATTATCAATGAGGCTACATGTGTGTAGGAGTCCAAGGGAAATTCCTATCCCTTTCTCTCAATTTTTCTGTGAACCAAAAAACTACTTTAAAAAAGTCTTTGGAAAACGTGACTATTTTGTCTTACTGGCTACTCTGGGGAAAAGAAAACAGGGTCAGTTTGGAGATTTCCTAAAGACACCACAAATTATGTGTAGTCTAGGCCTTTTGCCCCAAGGTTGATTAAGAGCTCTGTGGTACTTTGTTACTTCTTATGTATCTTGCATATTATAAGGGTATTGAACTTGTGCTGATTTGGGGGGAAGGGGCTCAACATTTTCTCTTTTTGTCAAGAGGAGTGCTTCTTACTTAAGTCTTCTGATGAGGAAGCGCCATCTTAGAGGATCCTGAGGGGTACTCTACTCTTCTCTCCTATTCTGCAGCTCAGAGACTGCCAGCCTCACTCTCTAAGTGGCTCCATCTCCATTTGCGCATTCAGATTCACTTACTTGATATTATGCTCTACTTGAGGGTAAAGAAGTGTAAAGATTTAGACACTATATGAAGACTTTGTTCTGGTTGTCCAGGAGTGCCACAGATGGGCTATTGGGCTTAGGTCAAAAACAAAGATTAAGAGGAGCCCTATTTATCACTCTTCTGGGTCCACTAAATACCAAACCCCCATAAAGACAGCAGTCATCAGTTAAACAAATGATCCATTAAGTTGAGAACAGATGTGTGAGGACTGCTGCCCTCTCCTGATTTACTGGCCCTTGGTAGGCATTAGTATGGTAATGGATTTTATCTATAGCAAGCAACTTGCCCCACTACTTAGAAGACATGGCCTCTTTTGACACTTTGAGTTATGTTTCCACCCCCTGATCTCCCATGAAGGGATCCTGGGACTAAGCAAGTAACTCTCACAATGAACTCAGGGTTCATAGAAGGTTGATGAACCACCTTGCAGCCACACTGCTAATCTCATTTCAGTTGAAATGAAATTTGAAGGCCCATGATACCAGCCTATTTTCACATTGGAGTGACTCTCAAAATATTTGACTATTTCCAAAAAGGACCCTGTTCTCTGATGGGCTTTAATAAGATAGATTTTCATTAAAACAAGGTAGTTCTGTGTATAGAAAGAAGAGTGCATGGTAGAAATGAATTCTTAAGGTCCCTTCCAGCATTTGGAAGGGCAGTAGCCAAAGATAAAATTATTAGAGATCTTAAAAGATATTTTGATGTTCTGTGATCATTACAACTTCTACTTACTCACTAAGTGAAAACAAAAGAGTGTTTTGTTAGCTTTGGTTTTTGTTTTATCTTTCAAAATCTCATTTTGTAGTCTGCATGTCCAGGTGTAAAATTCCTTTGAAGGAATGGACAGCCTAACTGAGCTCGTGGAAAAGGAATCAAGGAAATGAAGCTAAGATGAGAGTGGAGTAGGGAGCAGATTTTGTATCTTGCATTCAGACCCCAGAGCACAGGGAACAAGCATTCCAGTGCCTACAGGCAGTTCTCAAGAGTTGGCCCATGTGTGGCTATGACTGCCTTCAGTCACAAGAAACAGAAACATCTTGACCTTACTTATGAAGAAGGAAGTGGAGGGGCAAGGAGAGAAGAAGAAAGGTGGTAGAAATTGTAGTAGTTACACAGGTAGTCATTATAATCATTGGATGAAAAGAGATCTAAGGAGCCTAGGGCATAGATGCCATGGAACTCAAGGAAGAAAGATACATAATCCTATGAAAGACGCTGCAAACAGAACCAGGAAACCATAGGATCCCAGGGTTGCTCTCCCCAGGCTTCCCCACTATGCACCCCTGCGTTCTGTTCCAGATTCATTTCCTGCAGACTAGCTTTCCATACACTCAGTCCATGTGGCAGCAAATGACTGTACAGTCAAGGCTCTGAAGTTCTACTTTTTAACACCAATTCCAAATTTTCCTTAAGACAGAATCTGAACTCCATGATGAATGTACAATGACAAGCATATGACTGAAGACAGAATCCGATTGCTACTGCTTGAAACAGTAGTCTGATGAGGTCTAATCAACTGGCTGAAAGAGTATAGAATTCCCCTTACTCAGTTTCAGTTTACTTGCAATTAACTGTGCCCAAAAATATTAAATAGAAAACTCCAGAAATAAATAATTCATAATTTTAAGTAACTTTTTATTGCATTTTATTATTAGTAGTAGTAGTTGAAGTTAACCTCTATGCCTAATTTACATTAAACTTTATAATGGGTGTAGATGTATAGAACAGAGCATAGTATATATAATATGTACTACCTGCAGTCATGAACCATCTTGGGACATAATCCTCCAAAAGTGAGGTGAAACTGTTGGCAGTGGATTACGGTGGTCCTCAAATGATTATCAGTTACTTGTCTGATACCTCGAGCCAAGATTTGAATGAGGAGACAAAGTATCAAGCAAAACCAAAGTTTATTAAAGCAATAAGAAGCCATAGCACAATGTCAGGGCATCAGGGGGATGGTGCTCTGAGCAGGGAATTGCTCAAGAGCCCAGCAGTCAGGGATTTATCTGCCTTTTGTGTGGCTAGGATCCAGCTGCTGGAAAAATCATCAGGTTTGATTGCAAAATCCTGTTATATAACATGAGGTATTCTGTGCATATGCTGATTCCCAGATTTTTAAATGATATGCATGAGATGCTGGTAATATTTATGAGGTCTTAAGTAGGGAAAATGGCTGAAAAGGTCAATTTAGGACTTTGGGCTCTATAGTGCTCTGAAAACTGGTTCCCTTTATCTCCCTCTCTAGAAAGACATACTTAACAGCAAAGCAGATGCTACCAATCACATATTGGGCTGCATGATAGTTAGAGGCAGAATGTGGATTTGTCTTTAGTTGACCACTTGCAGTTTTATATTAACTTTTTCATCTTTCCAGTGACCTCCATTCTGTCTTGTCTCTAACTATTGCATAAGCATGGTTATCAGGAGCTCACTCACCCCTGTGGGTGAAAGAGAACAGTTAGCTGACCATGTGATCTTGGAAGAAACCCCATTGGTTTCCTGTAGAGTTCACCACTGTCCATCCACATAATACAAAGGTTTATCTCTGGGTTATACCAAACTGTGTTGCTGGATTTGTTTGTTTTTGTTGTTTTGATTTGCATCAATAATGTACTTGAAATTTGACTAAAAATCCATCCTTGTTCCTTCATTCAAAGCAGCACATTAATGCTGACTTTTCTTAGTAAGAAGAGCTTTTTGGGGATGGCAAAATGGAAATGAACATAGATAGGTTCTTCAAATCTAGACCCAAACCATGATATTTGAAGAACTGTTCTTCTGCCATCCCCAGGGAAAGAAACAAGAAATATAGCTACTTTAAAGAGAAAGAAATGCTTCAGACCATAACTAAGAAGTAATTTTAGGTGTTTTAGACTATATTATAAATGATTTTGTTGCTATAAGGCCCAGTAAAGTTCAAAATCCTACTTTCATTAAATTCTACCCCTGACCATTTTTCCTCCAATTGTTTTTGTGGCTTCTTCTGCAAAAAGTCCCACAGATCAGGACTGTGCATTCCCCCCTCCTGCACTGAGGACCTTATTGTAAATGCAGGAAAGAGCAATATGGCAGGAGAAGGTTATGACCCAGTCCCTACACTGACTGGGGCTCCATGGCCAGACTGCAGTGAATTGAGTACATTAAGGATTTGCCTTTTTTTGAAATAGCTTCTATTTCCTAATGCCTCAGAGATCTTAATAGCCTTTGCTCTGCCCCATTTCCCTCCAGACTTGGTGCACACATGAATGCTGACGTGGTATGTCACGTGCTGGACTTTTGTAAGCAGGATCCCGGCCAACCACAGTGTCATCTCTATCCACTTCCCAAGGTGAGTGGGTTCCACTCTGAATGTCTGTTCTAGTAGCATGCAGGCCCTTCAGAAATGTTACAAAGGGGGCTCAGCTTCCCTTGTTCAATGATTTGGGGACAAGAGAGGCAAGACGACATTTTCACTTAGTTCATGTGAAATAATGTCCTCTAGTCTCATCCTAGGGTTCCTCCTCTCAGATGCAAAGAATGTCTTTGCCATTCAGCTGTTATGGACAGTTACCTCGAGCTGAGCTGGCAGTAGGTAGGAGAACTGACCAATCAAGGAAAGCAGGCTTTTAAATTCTTCTCTACCACCTTAAAAATCAAGCCATTCACTCTTACAGGAGACTCACTCATCCCAGGTTGCCCAGGGATTTTCCTGAGATAAGAGCTAAAAGTCCTCATTTTGGGAAAACCTGGGCAGTTGATCATCATAGTTTGAGCTTTATTGTCCTTAAGGAAAAAAATAGGCATGATGAAACACCTCCTTCATAGGTTTGTCATGGGAAGTAAGTGAGCTAATGCATATAAAGTGCTTATTAGCACAGTATCTGCTACAGAAAAAGTATTAATAAAAATAATATCTAATAGGATTATTATCAATATCATCATAATTTGGAGGCAGCTGTTCAGAATATCTTGTGTGCATTATTTCCATTGAGAAATTTTTAGTAGGGTTGCAGTCAGACAGAAGGCTGTGTAAATGCTAATTCAATTCCTTCCCTACACTCTAGATCAGTACATGATATTAAATCCAATTCGGCCTTACAATATTGATTTTCACACACTTCTTATAAGAAAAAAAATTCTAGACCTTTTTTCCCAGAATTGTGGTTTTTCTGTATATAATACAATAGGTTTCTGCTTAAATTATCCTTTTCTTTTTATGTATGTTGACAAGAAGTCAATTGTAATGCTTTGCAGCCTAGCCAGTGTATGTGATTTTGCTGATTGGCAATATTAAACATCATAAGCCTGTCTCCTCAAGGAGGAAGAAAGTATACAAACGCCTGGGGTATGTGTGTATTTCATGTTTCCTAGGTCATTGACTAAAAGCCAATTAGATTTCCCTTAATTCCATCTAAGAAGCTGTAGGCTCTACTGATTTCTAGAAGAGTTAGTTAATTTTAACTGAAAAAAGATGAAACTTCTCATGTATTCAAATTGCAAGTAGATATTATACCATCATAATAGCTGCTTGACATTGAAGGGAGGAAATGTGCCTCTGAGTAGGAAGGCAAGTGTGCTAGTCTGCTTGTCATCACTACGACAAAACACTGCAGAGAAACAACTTCAAAAGAAGAAAGCTTTATTTCAGAAGTTTCAGTCCATGGTCATTTGGCTCCAATTATGGGCTTCATAGACACAGAACATCAAGGTGGCTGGAGCATGTGGGGAAGTAAAACTGCTCACCTCATGGTGGCTGGGAGAGAGAGAGAGAGAGAGAGAGAGAGAGAGAGAGAGAGAAAGAGAGAGAGAGAGAGAGGCAGAGACAGAGGCAGGGCTGGGGACAAGATATAGTCCCAAGGGCATGCCACCAAGGACCCACTCCCTTTACTTAGACCCCATCTTCTAAGTTTCCATAACTTCCTAATAGCCCCTTAAATTCTGAACCCATGGATGTGTTAATCCATTGATGTTGTCAGAACCCTCATGATCCAATCACTTTCCCAAAGCCCCACTTCTTAACACTATTGTACTGGGGACCAAACCTTCAACACAGGAGTCTTTGTGGGGATACATTTCAGATCCAAAACATGGCAGCAAGTGATTTGGATTTTTGTGGTTTCCATAATACAGTAAACCCATAGCTAAGCATAGTCATGAAATGCTCAGCTTTAAACTATCCCATTTAAAATGACCTCATTTTTATCCTCTCTGGTGTTTATACCCCAAATTTCATTTGCTTGTTTTCCCAGCGTAACCTCCTTTTCAACTCCCAACTCAGGAACATTTCAATCATTGTCTTTGGCTGGGTGTTCCTCCTAGAAGTGTTCACCTTCCACCTCAGTGGGCATCCAGGGCCGCTGGCCAGCTGCACCTGCTCCCTCCGCAATTCCCTTTGCTTCCGGGTGTGTTGGGGGCTACTCTGAAACATTTCTCTCTGCCTAAGGTCCCACTCACCAGCCTCCATCTCTGTAGATGACCCGGAAAAGAGGGACAGTTGGTATGAACCCAGATAGCTTCACTCTCCTCTGCCTTGAAGTTTCCTTTATTTTTTAACGTTTTTATCGCCATGTATTAGTTGTACGGGGGAATTCATTGCGACAATTCCCCATGTGCTTACAATATGCCTTATTAGTTTCGCTCCCACCATCTCTCTCCTTCATCCCCTCCCCCTACTTAAAACAATTACAATAGTTTCATTATTCTATCCAAAATAGGTATATAAAGTACATCAACCATATTTACCCTCCTTTATCTCCTCCATTTGCCCTCCCCCTCTCACAAGTACCCGTCCTCTCACAGGACCTGTTTTTCAATCCTGTCCTTTATTTTTAATTCATATTTGCTTTTCAAAGGACTTTCATGATGGTATTTCAGCTGTGAATATACTGTGCTTTAGTCTGATTAACCTCCTTTATTACTCTCCCTCTCTCTCCCCCTACCTCCTGTTATTCAGAAGCTTTTAGTGCTTTTCCTTAAGCCATCTTCCCACATAGACACACTGTTTTTTGATATGGTTCGCTCTCTATCATTCTCTTTTCCTCTACCTCCTCCCCTGAGTCCCATCGGGCAGTCTCACTATTGCAGGCATGTTCTATATATAAATGTGTATATGATCATGTCTGTATTTGTGTATACATTTACCTTTTGGATCTATCTTCCACAAATGAGAGAAAACATGTGATCTTTGTCTTGCTGGTGAAGTTTTCTTTAATAGCAGTAATTGGCATGTCCTGACCACACACTGTGTGACAGATGCTGGGCAAACAGTTGTCTTCATCTTGTTCAGTCCTCTTACACTCCTAGGGTATAGATACCACGATGACCCCTTGCTCACAGGTGAGGAATCTGAGAGCTGAAGAGCTCGTGTAATGACTTACTGCCCCAGGAAAGAAAAGAACTGGGTGTGGCATTCCGGCTGCTCTGTGTAGAGAGAGAGCTGGTGTCTTTACCAGAGTCAGAGTGTCTGAACCCACCCTGAGGGCCTCTTCACAGCAGCCACCAAAAGTGACCAGTGTGAAAATGTTATTTGTTCTCCTTTTAATTTTTTACACTGCGTTCATAGTTCCTTTGAGTTATGATAATGCATATAGAATTTGTTTTGTACTCTGCTTCTCCCTGTTAACATAACATTTTGGTTATGGTACATAGTAGACTTTCCCTTCATTTCCATGACATACAAACCACTACCATAAAGCATTACTAATTAATAGCAAGAATTACCTGCCTACTAAATCTAATTTTAATATGCAGATGCAGAAGTGGAGAAGCTCACCAGATGGATTCCTCATGACCTTCTCACTCAATACTCCTAAAGTAACCACTATTCCAAAACCTCATCATGGATTATATCATTTATGTAGAATTCTAGTCTCAAACTTCATCTAAGTGGAATTATGCATTACAGGTGGTCCCCAAGTTACAATGGTTTGACTTTACAATTTTTCCACTTTTGATGGTGGTACAAAGCAAAATACAATCAGCAGAAACCAATTTTGAATTTTGATCTTTTCCATGACTACCAATATGAGGTCCCATCCTTTTTTGAGATGCGAGGCAACAGCAGTGAGACGCAGCTCTGAGCCAGTCACACTATTACAAGGGAGACAGCTGACACTATAGTGTGCTGTGTTGCCAGTGTTAAAAAATATGGTGTTTTCACACCCATCGTGTATACAAAACTCCCATCTGTGTGTGTAGGTGAGGTATGCAACACTGTTTTATAGAATGGGCTTTGTGTTAGATGATTTGCCCAGCTGGAGGCTAATGTAAGTACTCTGAGCATACTGAGGTAGACAAGGCTAAGCTAGGGTGTTTGGTAGGGTAGGTGAAGAATGAATTACAAGCTCATCTCAACTCCCCCATTCTCCATAAAATAATTCCTAATTCTTCCAATAAAATGCTAACTCTCCTCTCAACCATCATTAAAAATATCTTTTTCAGTACTTACAATACGCTAATACTCTTCTACATACTTTATATGTATCAACCCATTGACTCTTACAAAGTAGGTATTGTTAGAATTTACATTTATAGACAGAGATACTAAAATTATGCAGATTTCCTTATTAGGATGTAAGCACATGGGGAGGGGGAAGAGGAAGAGACTGAACAGAGAAGAGGAGAAGAAAATAATTTGCAGGCCATCATTGCAAGGACCACCCAGATGGCTCTGTGTTGTGTTGCTACCATTCTGGGCGTTATTTTGTCACCCCCTCCCATCTGTAACACAGAACAAAGCACTGAATGATGCTGGTGTGTGCACATACGTGTGCAGAGACATGATTATGACACCACAGCTCCCAAGTTGGAAGTGAATGCAGCTTCTTTGTGCATACCCCATGGCTCTGTTTGGATCCAAGTGTTATAAAGGAAGAGCTCTTTTTGAACCAGGAGCATCCCAGAGCCTCCTCTGCTTTCTGCTGCTCCCTCTCCAGCCCTGAGTTCCCCAGGCAGACCTCTCCTAACAATGGCTGTGCTAGATTGACTTGCTGTATGGACCAGCATCTCAAAAGCACACTCCAGACCAACTTTGCTCCACTCCAAGCCACATTAAAAGAGAATTCTATTCAGAACGTACACCGGTGTAGAGTTTGGTTCTTGCCATTTCTCTGGGGCCTCCAGCTAGGAAGGAGGGAGAACTGCTATCATAAGACAGCAAGGAATTTTGAAGCAGCTTTTTCATGGTGGATTTTGTACAGGAACCAGAGTCTCTCTGATGCTGAATGTGGGAGTGTGTGTATGCACAGGGAATTCATGTTTCCTTGGAATCCAAACCCTTGGGAATCTGGCTTACCTGTTTTGGGAAGGAGTAAGTTGGTATACGTATAGAAAGAGACATGTGACAAATTC